CTTTAATTAAAATAAAATTTAAGGGAGCCAGTATAAGCGTAAGAGTAATTTAAAAATTTAAAATTGAATTTTAAAAACAATTTTGGCTCCTCAGCCGTCCTTAACAACCTTTTTCCGTACAGTCACTCACTTGACTAGCATGCATCGTGTCTACTACCTTAAGGGGTCGAGGGCGGTGGTTCGGCAATGTGGGAAAGGAAGAAGAAGAAGAGTGAGGAGGGGGGTGGAGATTGCGGCCGGCAGAATCCAAAGCTGTTAGAAGGCGTTAGCTCGCTGTCTGAAGGTTGAAACAGGTTTCCCGTTTTCGTTTTCCCTAAATTTAGCCTTCTTAATAGGGTGAAACTTTCTATTTTCTCTGACCTTTTCTCCTAGTTTTATTCGCAAGGTTCAATACTTTAAGGAGGTATAAATAAGTATTAAATACGATATTATTGATTTCCGGAGCGAAACGCATGAGCTAAGCAAGCACCCCTACTTCGCATTACTTACACCTCATGCCAGCTTTTAAAATTTTCCCAATCCTGGTTGCGATTTTCCCTTACCTAATTACGGTTTTCCCTGACCTCCAACGCCTCTTTAAATTTCCCTTACTTTACTATGACTCCCCTTATTTCTCTGAGCAGTGTGAACGTGTGAACCTTGCGTTGCCCTCGAGCTGTCGACCGCACTCTCAGACTGTTATTGACTTGTCTGTAGTTAAGGCGCGGGATCACCTAAAACTGAAGTTAACGGATTGGGCTCAAATTTTGAACACGTGTTCGGAACACACTTCTGATGCACCCCACAAATTTTTTTGGCGCTGGTTCAAATTTGAACAAAGATATTGAGCGTTGAACTGTTCAATTTTCGTGCAGCTCACCCACCAAAAGTACGAAACGTAGACCAAAACTAAAAACATATTCCGGCAGTAAAAATGAGCGCCTATCCGTTGTGGTACCTCCGAAGTTCGTGGCAAAGCTCTATGTAGTCAAAAAAGTTGGTCAAAGTTGGGCCAAAATTTGGTCAAAGTTCAACTCCACATTTGACAGACATGCCCCAGGAATTTCGTTTCCAGAGGTACCACAACGTGTGCGCACGTCTTTCCCCTACACGAATCTACCTTCAGATTTTTTGTGGTATCGATACTTTCTGAGGGTGAGCTGCACAAAAAAAGCACTGTTTTTCCCTGCTTTTACTCGTTTTGAATTTGGCGGTCGACTCGTGGTGCTCTGAGATGTGGCGCGGCGGAAAGTTTTGGAACTACGTGCCGGCTGTGGCGGCGACGCGACCGAGCGCGACAGATTTATGACGGACAGCAAGTGCAGCTTGTCGGGTATTGTCTCCGCCTGCCGGCTAGCTGGCTAGCCTGCGTGCGTCCCCCCGCCCCGACCCGTTCCCCGCCTGTCCCCCTCCCCCCGAGCCGGTGCCGCACGGCAAGGCGACGAGGACGAGGATTTCCCAGCCGGACCTGGCCGGTCTCAGTCCGTTCACAGAAGTGGCAAAATCTTCAATAAGAGTCGTTTGCAAAAAAGAACAGCGCCTACATCCGCGAATCTGACCAGATAGAGCAGAGACATATTGCCGATAGAGCTTACCAAGTACTAATAGAAACTACCCGAACCCAAGTCATTTTAGCACATAGCACAGTGCTTCGTAAAAGACAAAGTTGATCAATAAGAGGTGAACTGCTGAAGACAAGAAGCGCAACACGTACTGTGCGGGCAGAGCGTGCCGGCCGCGCGTCACGGCCTCCGCGCGAGTACCGCAGTGCCGCGTCGAACCACGGGGCTACCCGTGGAAGGCGCGGCGCCACGCCACCGCGCTGCGCGAGTACCGCAGTGCCGCGTCGAACCACTACTCTACAAATCAAAGAGTGTACATAGTATGCTCTAACTGGAGCATGCCTGCAAGCACGCTCTAGCTAGCGCATGCCTGCCAAGCATGCACTAACTAGTGCATACATGCCATGTACACGCTTCCTGGTGCAGAAAACTCCCTATCCCTTATGCAGTAAATGTATGCTTCAGTTAGCGTGTACATCGCATGTATGCACTAGTTAGTGCATGCTTGGCAGGCATGCGCTAGCTAGAGCGTGCTTGCAGGCATGCTCCAGTTAGAGCGTACCATGTACACTCTTTGATTTGTAGAGTAGGCTACTCGTGGAAGGCGCGGTGCCACGCGCCGCGGCTTCCCTACGTGTCTCCTACTCCCCCTTCTCGCGGCCGGCACCCGTCTCGCTTTGTGTTGTGGACCTCGTCTACCACATGTAAACTTTACACGAATCGAACGCAAACCGCGTCGTCCTTGATTTGGGAACGATTTCGATACCACGCATTGTATAAATCCTAAATGCGGCGGCAGCGCTGCCGCGCAGCTTTAGCGGCGCGTCAGGAGCAGGCGATTCCGAACACTCTTTTAGTGCTGTAGCTATCGTGCCTTTGAGTGCGAGAGAGACAGCGAGAGAGCAGTGCTCGGAATCACTCTGCAGCGCGTCGCTAGCGCGTCGTGGGGAACTGCACTGTCCGGCTCTTCGACCCGGACGAGGGGCCCTGATAGGGTAAAGTGCCGAACATAGATCGGGGTACCAAACATGGATCATTTCTGTTTGGGGGTCTATAACTAAAGACCAGGTGACCAGATTCTAAATTTCTGTCTTTTCCCTTTCTTAGACTGACCCTTTGACTGTTCGATGTGAAGCTGACAAGTTTGTAACTGCGTCTCTCTACTCTGCAGGGTTGCGTTTAGAAAGACACCTAAAACAGGCCCCCCAAAATCGATGGAAAAATGACGTTCAAAAAAGGGGATTTTTGCACCCCTGATTCTGGGCCAAGCAATCACCGCAGTCACTTCAAAATTTTTCATCGTGCACTTTGGACAGACTAGTTTGATATTCTGGGACTACTGAATGCATACCTTGCTTTGTATCCGTACGCTGGTGGGGTGATCCATGATTGGACCACCCTAACCTAACCTTAGCAAAAATAGCCATATTTTCTTGTCCTCACAACTTCCAAAGTATTCGAGTTAGAGGTACCATTTTTGGTAGCAATATGACCAGTAAGGTAAACATCTATATTAGATTCAAAAATAGTAGTCAACCGATACTTAATTTCGATCTAGAGAAGATTATTTAAAAAGTGATCCATGTTTGGTAACCTTACCCTACCGAGAAGGTGCAGACTAATTTCGAGCCTTGTTTTCGTCGCTCTAGCTCTCTCGCACCTATACGTGACGCCCAATGAGTGTGAGAAAGACAGAGCGACGAAGCGAGAGCTGCATTATGAGGGCGAGAAGGGCCATCTCGGAAAAGGGGCAGGGTGGGGGTCGCCTCGCTCCGGCCGTGCGACCGGGCAGCCTCCGGCGCGTCGCCTCGCGCTATCGATACCGGGAAACGGGATTAGGGCGGGTCAGAAGTTGTGGTGCTGGGTACATGCAGCAACTTGTCATACCTTGTCGTTGTTTTCGGCGGAGTTCTTTGCAGAATCAGGATGGGCAGCCGAGGGGTGGGTGGGGTAGAGGGGCGGGAAGAGCGGGGGGGCACTGCAGGCGGGAAAGGTGGGGTAGGACCTAGGTGGTAGGAGAAGTTCAACGGAGCCTCAGAGAAGCCACTGGTCATTCTGCACTGAGTGTGTCCAGCGAGAAGCATCACCCTGACCCAAGGTGTCCGATGCAGAGTGGAGCGTCCCAGCGATCCCTGTGTTGTGAAAATCGTGTGCTGTGTTAGTGTAGTGATAGTGACACTTGTGGTATTTGATTGAAATGGGCAACAAAGAAAATGCGTCTAGGAGAAAGGACAGCCGCAAAGCTCGAATACGTCGTGCGCGCGCGCAGCAAGTTTGCCCCCTCCAGCAAGATGTCAACGATGAAAATGAACGCCCTGCAAGGTAAGTCCGTGATGTGTGTGTGTGTGCGTGTGCGCGCGCGCGTGTGTGTGTGAGTGTGTGCGTGCGTGCGTGTGCGCGCGCGCGCCACCCGGTGTTGGCCCCCGCGGATGTAGCCGCGGGTCCCGCGGCTCCGCATCGCCGCTGCCCCAAGGCCCTCGGACCCTCACGCCCCTGCAGTCCCAAAGCCACGACTTCTTGGTCTCTGCACCACGTGGCACCGCGGTGTGACGCCCCGCGACGGCCCGCGACGCCCCGTGACGCCCCGTGACGCCCCGTGACGCCCCGCGACGCCCCGCGACGCCCCGCGACGACCCGCGACGCGCCGCGACGCACCGCGACGCAAAGCACCGCGACGCGCCGTGACGCACCGCGACGCACCGCGACGCAACGCACCGCGACGCGCCGTGACGCCCCGCGAAGCACCGCGACGCACCGCTTTGAACCTCAATGTTCAAGCGCTCGACGTCAAAGGGACCCGCGCTATGCCGCGTTCGCTACTCATCACGTATTTCAGTAATTATTTATTTTTGCAGTGCTGCCGCTCCAGAACCAGATGTTGAAATGGTCGATATTGGGTCACCGCGGCGGGGCGCCGTCGTTGATGTGACAAATTCACCAACTGTTCTGTCGTGCCAACGCCCAACTAGAGTTTACGACCGTCAAAATCGAAGGAAATTCAAAACAACTACTGCTCCTGCAAGGTGCGTGGAATTTTGTCAGAGCAATGCTGCCGCGGCGTGCCTGTGGCCTGGAACCGCGGTTTCTCTTTTTTTCAAGCAGCTGGATGTGTTTTTATTACTTGTACGTCTACATTTTCACAGGAGAGGAGAAAAAAGAAGTGCAAGTGAAACCTTGCTGCAGCACACACCAATACGGCGCCGTATCCTGGACACTGTGAATGCATGGGAAACCGCGGTGGGCCGCGCCACGCACCCCGCCGAGGTTCCCAATCAGGGCCCTGCCGAGACCGCCACCGGCCACGCCGTCCGCGACGGGACCGCGGACGTCGACGACCCCCATTGGTACGTCTATCTATTCGCCCCCACATGGCCCCACGAGAGGCACCGGACGCTAACCGCGAAGACGTGTTGCAGGACCGCACCGGGTGACGACGAGTTGGGCGAATTGAATGTGGAGAGGGACCCAACTGATGAATTTGGCATAATTGAGTCAAGACACGTCGTGGACATGGGTCACGTCCTGCGCATGCATACTGCCATCATGAACCATTCCAGGGAGTGCGAGTTCGGCAAGATGAAGCTATTGAAGGTAGAGGATTCAGGAATGCTTGGCGTCTTCTACTTCAAATGTGACCAATGCGAAAAGGTGATGCAACTACGCACCGTGCCGCCTGGAGACGACATCAACAAGCAGCTAGCTTGGGGCTCCAGAAGCATAGGAGTAGGCTTTGCGCAGGCTCAAGAGCAAATGGCCGTTCTAAACGTGAAGGTACCGTCAAAAAATACATTCAGGAAGAAAATCAATGCCGTAGGGAAGGTAAGTGTATGAATGTTGTTTCTCCAAATTTAGCAACTTTTCTCGCGCACTGTCTCACGGAGAGTGATGACTTCGCAGGTTTGGCGGCAGCTTCATGAGGAGGAACGCGCGAAAGCAATCGCGGAGGAGAAGAAGTTAGCAGAAGAGGCGGGCGATGTCGACCAGGGAATTCCCTTCATCACAGTCAAGGTGGATGGGGGGTGGTGTCGCCGGACGTATGGCCATGGCTATGGGGCAAAATCTGGAGTGGTAAGTAAACAACAGACACCGCATCTATGAGTTCCACTCCAATGGTGCTTGCCTTCCACGGGTAGCCCTGTGGTTCGACGCGGCACTGCGGTACTCGCGCAGCGCGGCTGCGTAGCGCCGTGCCTTGCACAGCGGACTGATTCCGAGAGCCGTTTTCGTCGCTCTGTCTCTCTCGCACTCGTGGGGCGTCCAGTACAGGTGCGAGAGGGACAGAGCGACGAAAACGATTCTCGGAATCAGTCTGGAGGTAGCTCCGTGGTTCGGCGCGGCACTGCGGTACTCGCGCAGCGCGGTGGCGTGGCGCCGAGCCTTGCACAGCGGACTGATTCCGAGAGTAGTTTTCGTCGCTCTGTCTCTCTCGCACTCGTGGGGCGTCCAGTACAGGTGCGAGAGGGACAGGGCGACGAAAACGACTCTCGGAATCAGTCTGGAGGTAGCTCCGTGGTTCGACGCGGCACTGCGGTACTCGCGCAGCGCGGTGGCGTGGCGCCGCGCCTTCCACGGGTAGCCCCGTGGTTCGACGCGGCACTGCGGTACTCGCGCAGCGCGGTGGCGTGGCGCCGCGCCTTCCACGGGTAGCCCCGTGGTTCGACGCGGCACTGCGGTACTCGCGCAGCGCGGTGGCGTGGGGCCGCGCCTTCCACGGTAGCCCCGTGGTTCGACGCGGCACTGCGGTACTCGCGCAGCGCGGTGGCGTGGCGCCGCGCCTTCCACGGGTAGCCCCGTGGTTCGACGCGGCACTGCGGTACTCGCGCAGCGCGGTGGCGTGGCGCCGCGCCTTCCACGGGTAGCCCCGTGGTTCGACGCGGCACTGCGGTACTCGCGCAGCGCGGTGGCGTGGCGCCGCGCCTTCCACGGGTAGCCCCGTGGTTCGACGCGGCACTGCGGTACTCGCGCAGCGCGGTGGCGTGGCGCCGCGCCTTCCACGGGTAGCCCCGTGGTTCGACGCGGCACTGCGGTACTCGCGCAGCGCGGTGGCGTGGCGCCGCGCCGTGCACAGGTAGCTCCGTGGTTCGACGCGGCACTGCGGTACTCGCGCAGCGCGGCGGCGTTGTGCAGTCTTGGGGATAGCGATATAACAATTTGTGTGTTTGTTGTTTTACAGGCTGTCATCATAGGCGCCCGGACCAAGAAGCCACTCTATGTGGGGGTGGACAATAAGTACTGCCAGTTGTGTATCAAGGCCAGGAAAATGAAGGAGGAGCCGCGTCCTCATGATTGCATTGTCAATTATCAGGGGCCGTCTACGGGCATGGAGGCTGACATTATCATTAGGGGGCTGAATTTCATTCAGAAGGAGCATAGCGTCTGGCCTAAGTATATTGTTGGCGATGGCGATGCAAGTGTGTTCTCGAGGATTCAGCAGCAGACGACTCGAGGCCGATTTTGCGAGAAGATCGAGTGCGCCAATCATGCTGTGAAGAACTTTACTTCCAGAATGCACGCCATCGCGAAAAATACGAATGGTGACAAAGAGGGTCGTGTCCTGCTGAAGCCGCTGATTCCTCGCCTCACTAGTGGTGCACGAGGGGCTATCCGCAATAATGTGGGCCAGAGTGTGGACCAACTGCGCGCCGACCTGTGGAACGGCCCCATGCACGTGTTTGGGGAGCATTCACAGTGCGGCGCTTTCTGCGATCGCAAGGACTCTGACGAGCCCAACAATGTGGACATAGCAACAAAGACAGACGTTCTGAGCAAGGTGCGTGCGGCAATCCAGACTTTGGTGAACAACGCGGCCAAGCTCCGTTTGAATGAAACCACCAATCACTGTGAGTGTTTTATGTCCTTACTAGCTAAGCTCACAGGAGGCAAAAGGGTGGACTTGTCCACTGGCTGGCTCTATGAACATTGTTGCTATGCCGCGGCGTTGGCCTACCTATTTGGACCTGCCTGGCACCTCGTCGCGTGGGAGGCCGCGATGGGAAGCCCCCTGGGCAGTGTGGCTCAGAAAGTGTTCAGCGCGAGGGCCGTTGAGAACGAACGGTTGCGGAGCAAGCGACTCGCGGACCGCGAGGCGAGGGAACGCGGTGAGTGGGTACCTCGGCGGCGGGCCCCCGGCGGTGCGCCTGACGAACACTACGGACGGACACAGGAACAGGTACTGCAGGAACAACCCGACGTCTCTGACGACGAGCTGCAACGACGCATAGACCTAAAAATTGGGGAACTTTGCGACCAAGTCCCGGACGATTCGACTTCTTTGAGGGTAGCAACGGTGGAGACAGTGGGGCAGCACAACAACGACTACTACAAGACTCTGAGAAAGGACCGAGTGACTGCCTGTTGGGCCGGTGACATTATGAGCAAGAGAGACACCACTTGCCGGGGTAATCTTGTCAAGGCAATACTCTACGGGCCTGACATTGGCAAAAAGGAACAAATACAGAAGGGCCATGCCGCCGAAGTTGATGCCAAGAAGGCGTACGAGGCGCTGCGCGGCACCAAGGTGGTGGAGTGCGGAATTTTCATACGCCCCGAACTTCCCCACCTTGGTGCCAGCCCCGACGGCTTGGTCGGCACGGACGGGCTCATCGAGGTAAAAAATTTCTCAAAATTAGACGGAAGAACCATTTTGCAAACTTTTGGCCACCCTGATACACGACAAAAGCTTCGCAGTGTCCTAAAATTCAAAAAAAAGATGTCCCGTAAAGAATTAGCAAAAGTCCATGTTGTAAGTAAATTTGACGTTGAGCCAAATGAGAACAGTAAGCCATATGTACAGGTTCAAATGCAGCTCGCCCTGTCGGGTCGGGAATGGTGCGACCTCGTTCTGATTGCAGGCACAGACATGGAGATTTTCAGAATCCAGAGAGATAGACATTATTGGAACAGGACACTTGAACCGACACTTACCAATTTTTATTATGATTGCCTTTTACCAGAGATGCTCGACAGCCGGACAATCAGGGGTTGTGCTCCACGTGAACCTCAGTATGTCATACAGGCGCAGCAACGGAATCAACACAACGATGATTCCGATGAAGACTGATGAAACTTTCTCTTCTCATTTGGCTTTTACTTTATTTGATATTATTGCACCTTGATGTGGCCCGTTCGTGGCGCGTGCCGTGCCCCTCTCTGTCGAGGTGTCTTTCGCCTATACTAGCATGATGGGGAAAAGGGGGAGGGGGGGGGACACTGAAATGTAAAATAAAAGTTGTACATACTTATGCTTTCAGGACAAAGCTATTTGATCTTTGTTGTCATCTTGCTACAATCTGTTTTGTATAAAAGTGCCTTGCCGTCCGAATAAAATAAATTTTTTTACTATGCCGCAAGCGTTTTCATTCCTACAAACACCTGATACAGCGTCACAATTTCACTGCCTCAGTCCTCGGGAAAGGGAAATTGACGGAGCAGATTGAACTTATGTGCTAGAGATTAGCATGAAGCGCTCTTGGAGGCGAGCGACAAAAACAACTTCAACTCTGAACCATATTGACAGCACAGTCGCCCCCGCATTACCCGCTTTATCCTCCTATTGTGTGACAGGAGTCGTCTGCTGGGCGTCTGGCCACAGGTCTGGCCCGTCTGGCCTGGCTCGCCTGGTCGCCTTGGTCTCCTTGCCATGCCGCCGCGCGCTCGAGGTGAGGGAGGGGGAGGGGAAGAGGGGCAGCGGGGAGCGCACTGCAGAAAGGGAGGGGTGGGGAGCCTCGCCCGGGCGAGCACTTGCTGACGGACAGTTGACAGGTACACAGGTACGCTGTAAAATTATGAAAGAAAAGAGGAAAAGGGACGCACTGGCCTATGCTTTTGCAAGGAGACAAAATAGGCAAGGTGCTTTTGACAGAGTACCGCTAACAGCGCTATCTCTCGGAGAGTGCGTACACTTTTAGCAACGGAGATGTGCGCGGAGTATTGACCGGAGCAGCCCTCGCTATACCCCGCGCGGGGGCCGGACCCGCGCGGCCCCAACGCTCCAACTCCGGAGGGTGATCCCGCGCCTTAATTGGCAAAAAATTTCATGCCAAAATGAGTTCATGTTTATTGAGGGCACCAGTATGATTTCGGGGAACAAATAACGTGAATATGAGTGGGATAATACCTGTTTTGACATTGCAACAGCTTTGATTTTCAAATAAACACGTTTGGGTTGGCCTTTCTACCGCTGCACCACTGAGGATATGTTTGAACAGCTCCAAATCGACGAGAAGCTCGTCTTTCTGACCAGTAATGATTTTATCACCATAAAATGATCAATTGGCCACAAAATTTAGGTTCAAGGACCATCCACTCTCCCAGGGAATACTCGCCCCGCCCCTTGGCAGGAGGTGCCCCTGTCCCTGGCAGTAGGTGCCCCGGGCCGGGGCACCTACTGCCAATTGCAGAGGTGCTTAGAGTAGGAGATAACTCTACATAAACGTGTCATATTTTAGTTTCTATCAACGGGTTATTGTAGATTAAGGATCAATGAAGTTTTCTGACTACACATATTCGTCACCAAGTAGAAACAACGCAAACCAGAGACAAAATCCAAAAAGTGGCAGGAGGTGCCCCACTCTCCCTTACAGTCAGCTCTGGTTAACTGTCCCGAGTTGGCCCCTGGTTAGATGTCCCAGAGACATCCCCACCACCACTGGCCGGCGAGGGATTACCGGCTATCCCCCGGGCCCGGGTCGGCCGGGCCTACCTGCCCGGCCTCTGGTTAGCTGCCCTCGGCGCCTCCCGGTTGTCGGGGCGCTAACCAGAGCTGACTGTATACGAAATACCCTTTAAAAATGAGAAAAGTAAGTAAACGCTGTTGGGGAAGGAATTTCAAAAGACAAAAAAGGCATTGAAAGGTCAGAAAGTCATTGAAGAATCCACAAATCAAAAAAGTTCCAAGGCATTACACTCTCAAAAAGTCTAAGTTCACTTTTAAATCGGTGTATTACGCTCGTCGGTTCGGTTGGGGACCCCTTGGCGTAACACCTCCCAACGTAACATTAAGCACTTGAATCAAGCATTTAGTGACGGACGATTCAGTTTTACCAGAAATTAAGTGAAATTAAGGTGAGTCTCGTCCAACGATTTTGGTCAACACTCTTTCTATTTCGTACAAGGAACCACCACGATTCAGCAATGTGTCGGACGACCAGCAAAGACATACACAGAGATGGCCTGTTTAGAGAAGCAGGAATGACGCCGCGCAATCGGTACGAGTTTGTGGAGCGCACCACGCAGGGCGTCTGCATACACCAGTAAAACCAAATGGTGGATACAGCGGAAATCCAAGAAGGCTTAAGTAGCCTCACTTTTGTTCGAAAATAATACGCCTTATTCGTTCAGAAGGCGCAGCAGGGCGGCGACCCTATGATGCTTCGGTTCTCACATGTACGACAGTAGCGCAACAATCCAGGGTGCGCACACTCTCGGACTCGTATTGACTTTTTATCTTTTGCCATAAAGGTTTTTTGCAAACGTAATATGTACTATTTTCTCTTTGGCTATTCACTATTTTGTTCGTTGTTGGCTGAGCGATAGCGAAGCCCGTTACTCCAGTGCGGTTGAAAAGTTTTGTCTGTCTGTCTGTCTGTGTGTGTGTGTGGTGTACACTACCCCTCCTGAACGGCTCGGCCGATCTGGCTGAGATTTTGCAGGATTTTTAGGTATGTTCTTGGCTCGGCACACGCGAAATTTCACGATCCTCCCTCAACTGGTTCAGTTTTTATAGCCGAAAAACACCTAAAAAACGGCGAAAAATCGGTTTTCTGCAGGTAATCACCTCTGTCTTGAAAAAAGGGGGGTCTGGGGGCGGAGCCCCCCAGCCCCGACAAGTTAAAAAGTGACAACGGTCAAGATCGGGTTTTCTTTAGATGAAGCAACTCTACCTAGAATTAAGGGGGGTCTGGGGGGGGGGAGCCCCCCCGCATGCAACACGTAAGAAGTATCCGACAATGGACAAGCCAAATTGGCTTAGCCAATGCCTGCCGAAGGCAGGCTAGCGCCGCAGGCCAGGTGGGTACGCCAGGCGCGGATTGGAGGAACTGGCCGCGAGCCATCGCGAACCCTGTTACGACAAGACGCGGTCTGGGTAAACCTACCTTGTAAAATGTTTATAGTCCATTAAACCGGACTTAATGTCATTTGCAATGTATTTTTCAATTTCTATATGCTCTATTGACATTATATCCCTAAAACGATAAAAATTGTGCATAGTTAAGAAGGAAATAGTACTTTTTACGTTTGCTAAAAAACCGCTATAAGAAAGAGAGAAAAAAAATTTCCCGCCAAGGCAAGCTTAGCAAAGCGGTCTTGCCGTGGACCGGCAGGGGAGCGGCAGAGAGGGGCAAGGGGGGAGGGGGTGGCTGTGAGGGAGGAGGGGGACTGGCGTGGTGAGGCGGCGCGGCGGGGCGGCGCAGGACGACGACAGACGACCACACACCATGCAGTCCCCTCCAGCGCGCTGAATGGATGGATGGGTGGAGGGTGGAGGGGATGGGAAGTGGGATCGGATGCAGAGCTAGAAGCGGTAGCAAGACCGCTTAAAAGTCCATATAGGTCTGAGCGTGCAGTTAAACTGACCTTTCCCGGTACGGACCGCGGGGGGGAACTCAACACTAAAAAGGGCGGTGTGCTTCTGGGGGCGTTTTGCCTTGCTACCAGGCGCTTTGTGACGTCATGCCTACCAGATCCTGTCGGGCCAACGTGACCATGATGAACTTGCACAGAAATCGACAATCAGGGGGGATCACTAAAAAAAAAAATCACATAAACCACACCTAAAAAACACAAGAAATGCTAAAACAAGCATGCTCTGTGCCCCTAAACGAGCAATTATGTGTTTTCACCACAGACAACTCTATGAGACATGACATTGGGAATGTTGGCAACAGAGGCGGAAACACCTTGGAAAGGGCGGCGGGAAATTTAAATATCACCCATTGCACGTGCCCCAGTCTCCCGCGTCTCCTGTCTCTCTCGCACTCGGCCGTGTTTACGTGTTTACTGTCGCCGGCAGCAGTAAAGTGGCACTCCTGCAGTGGCAACAAAGGCAACAGAGCAAGGGAAAGAGGAACCAGAGGAACTCAATTTTTCCTGTTTATTTGTTCTACTTTCTTAAACTAGTTTATAAAGTTCTGGCATAGTACATAAGAAAGGTGAGAATATCTTCTGCCAGCATTCCAAAACAAGTGGATGGGGCACGATGGTGCGCTCATCGGGAACTACATGTGCAGTCTCTGGTTGCAAGAATAATACAAGTACTGAGAATATAAGTTTTCACAGAGTCCCAAAAAACAAGTAAGTTTCCTAGAAGATATGTTAAATCAAAAAAGACAAAATAAAAGATTTTTAAAAAATTTTCAGAGTACCAAACTTGACCAATAACAATGACACCAAACAATGCCAATTAATTATTTTTGACATGTTAGGTTTGCATCAGACTGGGTGGCGTGCTTAGGAAATCCAGTGCATGCAGGGAAATCCGAAGAAGTGTTGTATAAGACCATTCGAGTGTGCTCTGCACACTTCAGAAAGGAAGACTACAACAACTCGAGGTCGAAAACTTTGAAGTGGAATGCTGTGCCCTCTCTTTTGTTACCAGGTACATATGAAGAGCATCACACTATGTTAAAAAGTTTTGCCGCTAAATTATAATTTGAAGACTCTGACATATTAATCAACATCTCGCCCTTTTCTTCCAGAAAAACCTCTGTTGTCTCAGGCTCCTCCCAGTGCTTCTGATGATGCTGAAGGTTCTCAAACTTCTCGCACAGCTTCAGCAACTCTTTCTTCTGTTGATGATTTAGATCCAGATGAGCCCTCTGTCGAGACTCCTCAGGTGCCTGTGGAAGGTAATTTTATTATTAGCTGACAAAACTTTTCTCATTATTACCACTTCCTTCGCATCAGCTTTCAGTGTGCAATTTTTTTTCCAGCTGTTGTGAATGATACGCCAGATCAGGGAACTGATGCAGATGACTCTGGAATTGTTCTGACAGAATCCATAAATGATACCTCTTTATTATTTAATCGACAAGGTCATGAGAATGATAATGACCAAATTAATAATCTTAATTTAGAACTTTCCAAAGAATCTTTACAGGACAATTTATCAGGTAACGTTTTTTTAATGCATAGTTTTATGAGGCTAGTTTAATTTAAGATGGCTCAAATTTTAATTTATTTTCTCTTTGTTGACGGGTGACTAGATGTCTCCATGAATGATATTGAAGTCGACTTAGAAGTCTCAGCTATCACTGATCATGACTACAATCTGCCAATATTAATTGAAGAAGACCTAGCCAGTAAGTGAGCATTTAAAAAAAAAATTACTTTAAAATTTTAAACCAAGTCTTTAAAAGAATGAATGAAATAGATTGTTGTGTCTTTTTACTCTTAGCTTACCTTATAAATTGTTGT